TGTGTGTGTGTGTGTGTGTGTGTGTGTGTGTGTGTGTTCGTGTTCGTGTTCCTTTGAGTGGGTGTGTGTGCATGTATAAAGGAATATTTATTGTTTGGGATATTGGGGAAATTGTATAGTGTGTGTGTGTGTGTTCGTCTGTTTCTTGTGTGTGTGTGTGTGTGTGTGTGTGTGTGTGTGTGTGTGTGTGTGTGTTCGTCTGTGTTTCTTGTGTGTGTGTGTGTAGTTGTTTCGGTTGTTGGTATGTTTGCAGATGAAGAAACTGAAGTTAAAATTTACCTCGACTTGTTGTAACCGTATGGAGGATAACCACCGTTATTATTGTTACTACCCGGATTATTGTTGCCGTACATATCCTGAGAGTGTGTGTGCACGAGTATTTTTTGCAAAATACTCTCAGTGCGTCGTTCTTTTGTACAAGACTTGAAGATTGTTTTTCGTTCTCTCTCGTTCGCACGTATATCTCGATCTACGAGATCAGAGAGTCTTCTACTCTCTCACTCTCTATCTGTCTATGTGTGTGTCTTGGGCGTTTGGCGCTCAGCGCTCTCAGCTGCCAGCTGCTGTTCTAATTTATTCTCTTTTTGTTGTTTCTGCTTAAATTCTCTTGTCTGCTTTGGCTGTGGTGTTAGTGGGCGAGCGGGTGCTGGAAACTGTATGTGAGAGTGTGTCTGTGTGTTTATGTGTCAATGAGTGTACTTTAATGCCTGGCGAGAGCTTTTACAGGCTCTCGTCGTAGACTGGAACGCAAAGAGTTGCGCTTAAAGCCTTTTCGTTTCCTTCTCTTTCTTTCTTTTAGCAGTTAGTATCAAATATATTGGCGGTCGCTTTGTCGCTTCTTCTTTGCAGACTGTTTTATATTAATCTCTCTCTCTCTCGCTCTCTCTTTCTTCTTTGTAGCTGTTGTTGACGCGCTCAGCTGTGTAGCGGTTGTTACTATGGTTGTTGTTGTTGTAGTTGATATTGTTGTTGTTGGAAGTGAGATGATAAATTGGTAAGGAGATTAACATATGATCAAAGAGACGTGCACTAAGCATTGTTTTCTCTTACTTAATGTTTGTATGCGTCGGTTAATTGTGTGTGCGTATGAATGCTCATGTGTGTGTGTGAATGTGCAAGCGAATTATCTTAGAGTAAACGCTAATATTACCTCCTAAAGAGCGAAATGTAAACGGCAGGCATATTGCATATAATTCAGAACATTGTATGTGTGTTTGTGTGTGACCCCACAACGGCGTTCTTTAATCAAGATTTACCATATAATTTCTTTCTTATAATTATGATAAATCACAGAATTTGTCTTAGCTTAATTTTCAATATAGACTAGATTAGTTAGAGTTGTCGCCCTATCATAAGCCCAATAACAAAGGCGATATTTGTATAGAATTATAATACTACTTGATAATACAGTATAGAACAAGTTCTTCAGAGTACAGCAATATATTAGAGAACAGAACTCGTTCAGCCAGAGCACTGGAGTAGAGTTGTCACCCTAAGCAAATTCAATTCAATTTCGAAAACCAAAATTCCGCTTAAATATATATACAAACTATATACATATAGATATATCTCTGGATATATCTATTTAGACGACAAGAGAGAGCCAACATACCTTGCCATTTTAAAGTTATAGAAGGACGACATAGTCGTTGAAGGTGTCACAGTATCAAAATTGAAATCCATTTTTAAGGATGTAGTTATTACACACGAATTATATATAGAGAATATTATATATTATTTGTAAACGAATCACAAATTGTAAGGCACAAGTTAGACTTGACACGAGTGAAACTCGACTGAAGTGCGGAGGGACCGGTCAAAGCTATTTAAACGATCCTGCCTGTAACTGCGCCAGTGGGCGGAGAGCTCTGCAGGCTACCTGCACCGGGAGGGAAGAGAAATTGGGCGCAAGGTGCGCGTGCCAAACGCGTGCGCTACCTGGCCTACCCTACAACCACCCAACTCCCACACGACTCGACTCGACCCAATCAGCGATCAACGCTCGATCTACCGGGAAGCGTGCCATTTTTATGACGGACTTTTCTGGATTCAGGGGCAGATGTTTTGTCTTCTCGGAAGCTCTCGCGCTCTGAAACGCTGCCTTGGCCCTGGCAAGGTGGAAATCTGAAAAGGTGGAACACTGTGACACAAGCTGCAAACAGATTTTTACTTGGAAAGCAAGCTGCAAATTATATATTCTAGCTGGGAAACTGAGTGCGAGAGCAGAGAGATTTACGAGGAATTAATCAAATCGATTAGAAGTCAGTTAAGAATATCTCGAAAGGTGCATTTTAATATGAGATAGAAGATCTAATTTATATACTTTATTCGCCATGAATTAGTAAAATCAATTAGACTATTAAAATCTAACAATTTGTGTCTTTCGGTTAAAAAATCCTTTAAATTCTATTTAGAATTCAAGAACTAAACACAAATCCAAATGCAAAATCAATTTAATTGTATGGAAACAGATGTCTATATGGAATTGCTAGGAATTTATTCATTAGACTTTCTCGAATCAAGTTTTTGAGTACTCTATAATAGATCTATATGCAGTTTAACTGAAATTTCTATTAGAGTTTAAAGATAAATCTATTATTAACTAATTAATATATATCTAATATGTACTACATTTCAAAAAATTTGACTCTCTGCCTGAAAACATTTTTCTTGGTATTGGGTTGGCATTTTCCAACTAGCTCAGCGCTAATGAGTGGAACATATATCACCTGCTTTTCAGGCAGCTGCAATTTCGCCTGGATTGTCGAAAGTCACTTTTCAGTTATGCGCATGTATATATAATAGATTTTGCTATATTTTTGTTCATGGGAAATAGAATACTGGATATAATTTCAGTCTTTGGAATAGATATAAATCTGTTTGATCATAAAAATAATTTGATAAAATTGAGTGATTTATGAAAATACTAGCAGTATTTACTACTACAGTTGAGTCCCGATTATTTGGGGAAAAAAAACCAGATCCCCATGCCATTTCGAAATATCGGAGCTCGACTGTATATATAGAATTTGTTTAATTAATTTTACTCATCTTTTATCAACATGGAAGATAATAATGAAGTAATTTTAATATTCGTTGCAAATTTTTATAAAAAAAAACGTTGTCCTTTTATTAAATTTGGTTGTCCAGTCGCGATTTTTATGACCTCAGCTGTATACATGTGTACATACCTATATATTATAATTTGCATAGTAAATCTATGTCAAAGGAACTTCTTTAAAAATTCAACCCCGCATAATTATCTCAATAGTTTTCTAAGGATATATTATAATAGTGTCCTTAACCCAATAAACTTTGCAGAGCATTTCAAAGCTGGCGAACTTTAGTCAAAGAAAATGAGAGAAAAAAAAAAAAAAACAATTGTAGCGAGTGGGGGTTAGCTCGTCGGCGCATGTTCCACTCCATACAAGAAAAAGAAGAAAAGTTGGAAAAGGAAAGAAAAAAAAAATACACAGAGCGCAGCCACCACTAAACCTCCCCTCGGCCACCCAGCAGGAGCAGCAGCAGCCACCGTCGCAGCGCTGAATCGCAATGGGCTGGACAATAAATGCGTAGCTGCGTAAACGCCGCTCTAAAAGGGAGCAAACGAATACGAATAGGCAAGCTGTTGTGTATATATTTGTGTGTGTGTGTGTGTGTGTGTGTGTGTGTAATGCTCTTAAAAGCACACATACACACAGACAGCTGCATACAACGGCACAAGTATATAAGGAGTGCTCAACTCGTAGCGAATACATAGCCAAAAGTAGCCAAAAATCGTACATAAACAATTGGTAAGGACTGTAGAAAGGGCGTGTTGTAACTGTAGTTGTTTTTGTTCCTGCTGCAAATTAGAATCAATAGCAATGTTCAAAGTACCGAAAGAAGCTCAGTTAGAAGAAGAAGCAGAGAGCACGTAGCGCCACATGTAAATCTCTCTGAACATACGGTGAAAGCAAACAAGACTAAAAATCAAAACAAAACACAAAGTCACACAACCGACATCAGAGCAAAAGTCGGGCCACATCGTTCATAAGACAGAGCGAGAGCGAGCAACAGATCGGAACTAATTCAGAAATGAGACAAAAAATGACAAAAGCAATGTCAAAGCAAAAAGTAGAAAGTAGAAAATAGATAATATAGAAGATGAAATACCCTGCGATCTGTATACAGCAGAGCTCGCAAATGAGAGTTGATCGTTTTTTCGTATATGCTCTGCTTCGTAACATAACCGAAAACACTGTGCAGGCACGATCACGCTCTGACCGGCACTTTTCGTTTTGTTTAGAATCGGTTTAGCTTATCAAAAATATTGTATATTGTATTGTATGCATTACTCATATTGAGACAATATATGCTTGCTACCCTATAAATTGAGCTAAAACAATACATAACATTGAGCTTTGAACAGAAATCGAATGGCTCAAAATGCAAATGCGTGTGTGTGTGTGGTGTTGAACTACTGCTGCTGATAACGGCTACTCTCAGCGTAAGAAACATAACAGAGAGCTGGAAAGAGATCACTCACACAGTTTATGCCAAGTAAAACAAAGACCACGACAAAATGAATGAAAGAAAAAAGAAATGCAAAACCGACATGCGAACATGTGGCAAGGCCGGCACTCCAGCCGGCCAGTTGATATCCACATACATATGTACATATGTAGGTATGAAGCTTTATTTGTGAGTACATGTTATTGCATTTTAAACTGGTCAAGCCCCACGCTGGCTTCCCCTCTCCCTTCCCCTCCATCACTCTACACACTTGAACAGACGAGTAATCAACTCAGGTACTTGTATGATCGTTGCTCTCACAAAGGCGAATGGCCCGTCACAGGAAGTGGGGAGCCAAAAACAAATATATTGTAAAAAGAGAGCGCAAGAGAAAATATGTAATGCAAGGCAGAGCAAAAGCAACAGAAACTATGGAGAATGTGGCAGCTGTCACAAAAGTGATCACCGTCTGTCTGTGTGCTCTCTCACACTCTCTCCCTCTGCACTTCGGCAGCTGCATACTTAACCAATAGCAATAGCACAGACGAGGGGAGAGGCAACTGAATGCAGCATACGCGAAGGTCGGAGCGACTACCTGCTTGGTCGGAGAGAACACAGAAATAAGAGAGAGAGAGATCACATTCTTCAATGGAAAATGGCAATAAAATTCAACATAAATCCAGCGTAATTAAAGCGGGCGCGCGTGTGCCGGTTAATATTGTTTGCATTAAACAGCATTAACTTTTATGGTACACGAATCAAATCGCTCAATTTGGAGAGAATGCCGCAGAGCGATAATTGTTAAGAGAAGAGGGTTTAGCTTTGTGGGATTCAAATATTCTCGTGTCCAGCAATTATTGTAATTAATATTGTGTACAGAACAGTAAATAAACAACAAATTGCATGCAGACAAAAATGATTTGTTATCTTATCGCATTTATTTCAAAACACATTGGACGAAACAGCTGCTACGCTACAGTGCAATGCCGCTATAGTGATGCCACCAAAATCAAATGGTTGAAATTGCAATTTTATACAAAATCATAATACTCTGGCAGCCTTGCATATTAAGGGACAGTTAGACGGAGAGAGAGCCAACGAACAAACCGGAAGTGAACGAGCAGGACATGTAAAAAGGTTCATTTCGCTTAGGTAGACGACGACAACGCTTAAGAGGCAGAAATATTGACGTATGTACATATGCAGGTCTACTTTTCGCCGCATAGACGAGCCAGTGTGTACACACTATGTGCGTGGAAGTTTGTAGCTTAGCAGCGCGCGCATATGGTAACTTTTAGCGGGACGCGACTGTATGCACGCGCTTTGTTGTATTGTTGTTGTTCCTTGTTCTGTTGCTGCTGCTGCTGCTGCTGCCGCTGACGCTACAGAGCAGCTTGCAAGTGTTTGCCCTCTTCTTTTCCCTATTTTTTACGTTACGAAGCAGAGGCAAAATGGTAGTTTATGTACATACATATATAAGAGAGAAAGAAATGAAAAACAGACGGCAACTCGATTTACCCACGTTGCCAGCAAAACGAAAGAACCAAATTATATGCATACATACATATGTATGCATGTACATATACATATGTATTTATGTGTAAAACGTAAATATTCTTATGATCTTACTGTAATATGCTTGCCGTTTACCGCTTACTCTTTGACTAGAATATTGTTGTTGTTTGTTGCTTTAAAAAAAAGAGCACATTTGATGTTAACGGAAAAAAAAAATTCAAAAGCCCCAAAGCATGAATTAGAAAAAAAAACGCTGCAGAGCGACCATGTTGATGACTTGACAACGAGGGGGGCGGCAGCGGTGCCACATACATATAAACATATACACGACGCACACAAACACAAACGCGTTTCGTTCACTCACACGCATTCGTCATCGACGCTAGCAGCGAGTGGCGGCGGCCTCAGTGAACGAGGACGTTGTGAATGTGTCTGTCTGTGTGTGTGTTTATGTATTTCTCTCCCTCTATCTGTGTGTGAGTGCGCGCGTACGTTTTCAGCGGCTCGTTGCCATTTTTGCTTTGGTGCTGTCGTCTCTGCTCTTACTGCTACAGTACACTGCAAAATTATGCTGACCGCTCTAAAATGTGCACAATCATTAATATATACTTGTATGTATATATATATTTGGAATTTGACATGCTTGGCGAAAGTTTATTAGCAGTCTAGTTGTTTTTTTATTGCGGAGTATACTTTTCGTACGTACTGTATAACAGTCAGTTTGTTTTGTATGGCAATGTGTACTAATACATACAAAGAGATTATCAAACTGTTTTTCTTGTAAACATCACTGTATTGCACTTTTAATGCACTTCAAATTTGTATTCTTTTTTTTTTTTTTTTAGTTTTTTACGCATTTTCAGACCGTTTAGTACACCAACAAACAACAACAGTGCAAACAAAAAAAAAATATATATATATATGTATATATATACAGCGAGTAACTGCTACAGTTACTGTAAATGCAGCCCTGTTACTCGTTGTCTTTTCGCCGCACACTCATACACACATATACTACATCCATACGTCTATGTACGTAGTAAATGATGTGTGCAATACATTTAAAAAAAATTGTAAATAAAATAAAAAAAAAGTTAAGCATTTTGTTTTACTAGAATGAAATGTAATAGCTACGCATGTTACTTTTTTTAATGATACGATTTACTCGAGAAAAAAAAATACATCATTTATGTGCAATATTTGTTTTGCGTATATATTTCACAATGTCTGCGTGTTTTCTTTTTTCCCATTTTCTCTTTTCGTCGATTAACATTTTGTTCAGCTTCTTTATATACACTTCACGTCACGCTAAAGCCCATTGTGGGCCCTAGTACATACACACACACATACAATATGTATGTACATGCACACGCATGTGTCTGTATACGTATGTGTGTGTATGTATATTATGTTGTTACTTTAGGCAGGCTTTATGCTTCGATCACACGTAAATGTCTCTTAGCGTCGACGATTAAACGCATACGAAAATATATTGCATTGTGTCTTAGTTTGTAAAGGAAAGAAAAAAAAAAAGAAAAAAAAACCAAGAAAAAACAGTACAAGTGGAGAAAAAAAAGGTTACCAGAAAAAAATGCACTGCGCGCGGCGCTACAAATTTCCTTCACAGTTCACAGCCGACAAAATGATACTGAAAGCGTGACCGACTTGAGCATTGGCAAAAAAGTAGCGATTGCTATGCCAGAGCAGAGGAAACCAAAACGGCCACACTGACACTGTTAAGCTTTATTTATCGCTGTTATTTATCGATAGCTTTAGTAAACTTTGCATAAAAAACGGGTCTCCAGAGTCTTGCATGTAAACTTGGTTGCTTATAAGCAAACTATTCAACTATAGCTAAGAGCTGGGCTTTATTTACTATCACAAAGTATGGTACTTCAAACTGACGATAAATATAATCTGTGAACGAAACCAATTTACAGCCTGTAAACGCATAGGATGGCCCCTGTTAACGCCCTGTTCAGTCACTTTTTTTACTGCCACACTGTCAGCAGTTCACCAGCTGACAACACTGATCCTTAAGCAAACGGTGCACGTTATTGCGCGCGATTTTTCAAAATTACATTTTATAGGCGTATTAAACAAATGCAAGCTGTTCAGATTTCAGACTTCTTTAATATATATATATACATATACATGTACAAGTACATGTGCGTATACATATACATATACATATATAATACTTAAAACTTGACGTTTATTCGTATGTCTACAGATTGTTGAATACTACTACAATTACGACTAAGCTTACAATCGTTAACAAACGACTAATATATATAAATGTTTTTGAGTTTGTATCAGTACGTAGGCGCTATATATATACTTATCCGTATATATACGAGTATCCTTATCAACATAGAAAAAAAAAAAAAAATAGTCTGCATATATATTAATTATACATATATATCTATAGCTAAAAAAAAAACAATTTTTATAGTTATAATATACAGTTACATAGCAGTCCAAATCCGATTTTTGTTTTGTATTGGCTAAAAATAGCAAAGAACCGATAAAGCTATACAAATGTAACATTTGCTTTTCATATCCTAGTGTGTGTGTGAGTGTGTATGTGTGTTTACGGGGCATATGGGTGTGGGAGGGGCTTTTTGTATGTATTGTTTCAGAGCGCAACAGGGGCATGGGCGAGGGTCTTGAATTGGGCAGTTCATTGATATAAACATAAACATAACGCTACAAGTCTTTTTTTTTCATTGAAGGGCTTATTGCAAGGCAACGGGGCGCATACATTAACGGCTCTTGGTAACCAGTATTTGTGGTTGATTGTTGTTGCTTCCTTTCCAGCTTGCTACCGGGCACACCATATAGCATTCCCAGTATTATCCCAGTATTATCATGCACATTCCCTTCCTCTCCACATATTTACATTTTCTTCTTTCCCACTATTCGGTAATACACGAACATTGCTTCCTGCCCAGTATTTGCCGCATACTGTAACTTCGGCTTTCTACCAGTATTTCTAGGTTGCAGTCTCTGCAGTGCACCCAGTATTTTCGCACACATGCACGCCTGTTTAGTATTTGTGTGCTTTCTCCCACTATTCGGTCATACACGTACGTTCGCCTCCTGCCCAGTATTTGTCGGCTTTCTACCAGTATTTTTAGCTTCCTGTGTTTGTTCGAGCATTGTCCCTTGTTTCTTTGTGTGTGTGTGTGTGTGTGTGTGTGTGTGTTCTTGAATGTTTGCATTTTTCTTTTCACTGTGAACAGTATTCTCCCAGTATTCTCTCAGAATTTCCTTCTAGTTGCGATTACGATGACCACCACCGCCGCCTCCCCGATTCCGATTACCCATAAAATGCCGACCGCCTCCCTGATTGTTGCCACCCGGTCCAAAGTTCTTGAACGGCCCATTTGGCCCGAGACCTGGTCCCGGTCCTGGTCCCTGCATACCATTGCCGCCACCGCCGCCGCCGCCATTGAACGCCACGCCCAGGTTGTTCATATTCATGCCATTCATGTTGTTCATGTTGTTCATGTTGTTCATGTTGTTCATGTTATTCATGTTGTTCATGTTATTCATGCCGTTCATATTCATATTCATATTGAGGTTGTTCAAGTTGTTCAGGTTGTTCAGGTTGTTCAGATTGTTGAGATTATTCAGATTCAGATTGTTGCCGGCGAACGGATTGAACGGATTGTTGTTCATCACGCCCACGCCCACACCGACGCCGACGCCCATGCCGTGCGGCGGCATGCCCAGGATGCTGTTGGTGCGCTGAGGCGGCGGCTGATTGAACTGGGGCATGCCCATGCCCATGGGCATCATGCGGCCGACATTGGGTGGCGGCTGTCGGAGCATTTGGATAAGATTCGGCGGCGGCTGCGACATATTGGGCAGAACGGGCGGCAAGTTGGGCACCACCACCGAGCCGACATTCTGGGGCGGCTCCTCGGGCAGCTGAACGACCAGGCCGTTGTCATCGATGTAGATGTGCAGCTTGGCGAAGATCTGCTGCAGCGTCTGGTTTGTCACAATGAAGCTCACGTCGAAGATCTTGTTGGGCGAGTCCTGCTGGTGGAACTTCTTCAGCTCGGTGAAGACCAGGGCGAGCTGTTGATTGACCATGATCTTGTTGTTGCTGCCCAGCTGCTTGTACCAGTTGGAGCTCTGCAGCAGATTGCGTATCTCGGAGATCTGGCGTCCGCTATCGTTGAAGGAGCCCGTGGCGGAGCCGGTGCCGGTGCCAGAGACGGAGCCGGAGCCGGTGCCGGAGGATGATGAAACGTTGGCGCTGCTGACATTCAAATGCGCTCGCCGTGGGTCACGACGTGGATCACTGCGACGCGGATCACCGCCAGTTGCCATGGCTGGCTCACTGCCGGATGAGGCGATGGTCACGGTGCTGGATGTGGAGGTGTTGACCGCAGACATGGGCGGCGGCACACTCATGGAGGGCAACGAAGCCAGTATGGCAGGCGGCGGCGGCGAGCTGGGCGTCGTGTCCAACAGCTGAGCATCGGGCGAGGCGATGCAGTTGCTCACCTTGCGCTCGCGACGCTCCGTGGAGAAGCCAGATGCCGAGCCGAAGCTGGAGCTGCCATGGCCACCGATCACGGTTGAGCTAGCGTCCGTGGCTGCATCGTCGGTTAGCTCCGGCAGGCCGAGGATGCGGCGCACGCGCGGATCACGCACCTCGCGCTGCTCCTTGTGGCTGGCGCTCTGACGCAGCTGCGAATAGCAGGGCGGCTCCACCAGCACCTCCTGCAACTGCCAGCGTATCGGGATGTGCGAGAAGATGGCCGCATCGATCTCGGTGGCGGGCAAGTAGTGCTTCATTGGCTCGAATGGCAGTCGCATATCGATGTCGCGATCCCGTTCGCGTTTCTCGGCAGTCGCGCGCGCATCCTCCAGCGCCGCCTTGGCCGGCTCGTAGTCGTACATGGAGCGACGCACATAGAGCGAGGCACTCGTCGCATTGGACGCGGCCAGCGTTGTGGCATTCGATGATGATAGCTGATCCCCGCCCCCGCCCAGTCCCTTGGGCGATTGTGAGCCCGGCTCGGGCGTCGGGATCGGCGTCATGGAGCGTGAATTGGAATTGGAATAGTGGACGGCATCCAAGAAGCTGTAGCTATCACTGGTGGCATTCGCATCACGGCTCTCGCCATCATCAGTCGCCGCATTGTCGCCGCTGTTCGTTTTGAATGGATTGTAGAAGGAGCTAAATATCAGCTTATCAAAGAGTCCGCCTCCTGCCGGCGGTGACTTGCTGGCCGATGCGGGCGGACTGCTCTCCCGGTGCGGGTCCGGTGTGCTGGGCGACGATGCAACCGTCGTGGCAGCTGCAGCTGTCGCCAGCGTTGACTTCTGGCCGAGCATGTTGCTCATAAAGGTGGGCAGATCGAACACGGATGGCATGGGCGGTGCATCCTCGTCGATGTCCGACTGGGATAGTGGTTTCTTCTCCTCCTCCTCACTGGCACGTTTCGATTTCTTTGACTTGGCATCCGACTCAGACTCGTCGCCGTCCTCATCCTCGTTGCCATCGTCGATGACCAGCTGCTCGTCGTCCTCTTCGCGATCATCGTCCACTGAAAACAAAGAAGAAGAGTTTCAATTAATATCCAGAGAGACAAATGGCAAATGTTAGTTAACAGCGGAATACACCTTTTTGCATTACAGAAATATGTATATTAAAGAGCTATTAACAGCCTCGGCACTGTTAGCTAACAGCGCGCTGTTTGCTTTGCATGGTTAACATTTTATGCATTTTACAGCGCACTGTTAAGTTTATACACCATTCATATCTTTATAGATGACACCCTGAACCCAACTGTCTACTTACGCGGATCGCTGCCTGGAAAGTTGACATGGGCATCCTTCAGATACTGTGTATAGTCGACCATGATGAAGCCGTTGTTGCTGTTGCTGTTGCTATTCGAGCTGAGAATGGTGTTCAGGTTGCTCGAGTCCTGATCCGTCTTACTGGTTCTGCAATTGATACATTAATAGATACCCTATAAGCGTGGTTAGAATGAGCATGCTCACTTGGTCTCCGTCGCTGGTGCAGCGGCTGCTGTTCCCGATTGAACTGGCTTTGCCTCCTCGGCCTTACGCTGGATCTCGCCCAGCTCGGACAGCGTTAGTCCCACCTCGGTCAGCTGGCCGAAGGGCACCTGGAGCATCTGCTCCAGATTCGTAATGCCCAGCTTGTTCAGCTTGGCCATGTGCTCGGCGCTGAGCACGTGCGTCAGATTCACCAGATCCAGGTGGGCGGGTAAGGGCTTAGCAGCGGCTGCACTTGGCGCAGCTGGGCTTGTAGCCGGAACAGCGATTCCTGCTCCAGCGCTTGATCCTGTGCCTGGGCCTGTGCCTGTGCCTGTCTCCGATCCCGAACCCGTTGGAGTTGTTGCTGCTGCTCCTGCACCCGTTCCCGTTCCCCCTCCAGATTTGCTGCCCGATTTCTCGGCCCAGCGCGATTTGCGCTTCTTCTCGGGCTTAGAGTCGCCCTGATTCAGATTGATGGGCGGGTTGATCACCATGTCGAGCAGCGAGGGTATCACGCCACTAGCAGCTCCTACTCCTCCTCCTCCTCCTCCTGCTCCTGCTGCTGCCGCCTGCTGCTGTTGCTGCTTCTGTTGTTGCTGCAGATTGGCATTGACCGCCGCAATGGCCGCCGCTTGATTGGCCACCTGGGCAGCTGCCTTTACCGCCGCATGCTGCGGATCCTGCAGTCGACTGATGCCGGCGCTGGCCAATGTCGTCCACGTATTGTCCATGTGGTACTGGTCGCACAGCTGCTCGTGCCGGCGGGTCATCTGGCTGAGGGCAATGTCACGTGAGATGCGCTTGAAGTCGCCCAGGATCTCTTTGGGCGCCGTCTCCATGTGCTTCAGCAGAATGTTGCGCAGCTGCTCGGTCAGCGGCTCGCCGTGATGGAAGAGGCAATCCTCGCCGGCATAGCAGTCCATGCCCAGGTAGTAGTACTTGCACGGGAACTCCTTGTGCATGTAGCTGCACTTGTCGCGCTTCGCACAGCAATCCTTCAGGTAGAACTTGCACAGCTCCAGTTTGCGGGGCTCGCGTAATTTGTCATCGTTGGAGTCGCGACGATTGCGCTTGCCGCCAAGTCCTCCGCCGACTCCACTTCCACCACCGCCACCGGATCCACCGCATCCGCCACCCGCACCCATGCCAGATCCTCCGCCGACACCGCCGCCCATGGCTAAGCCTCCGTCGTGCCGTCTATCGTTGTCACGATCCCTCTCGCGATCGCGCTCCCGATCCCGTCGCTTGCGTCCGCCGCGCATATCTTTCTCGCGGTCACGCCGGTGACGGCGACGCTGAGCAGTGCCAATGGCCGCCACGTTGGCCGGCTCGTCGTCCGAGTAGGACTCGTAGCTGCTGTAGTTCTCTGGCGGCGATTCGAAGCTCGGCTCCTCCCCCAGGCCAGACCACTCGCTGCCGTAGCGTAGCGCCGGGGCATTGGTTGAGCTGCCTGTGGCGCCACCTGGCGGCGGGCTGCCGCCGCGCACATTCATCATTTCGTATTCGTCCATGTCCATGTCATCGCTGGCACCAGCTCCGCCGGCGTCTTCCATCGAATCGCGGCGAGCACGTTTCTACGAAGAAGAGCAGAAGAAAGTGTTATGAATCGTCGCCCGACTATGAAAATACCCTATAAGTATGGGCTGTCCATATGCTAGGCGGCCTTGCTCTATGGGATCCTTCAGGCATGTTACAACAATGGATACCCTGTAAATATTAGTAGCTGCTCTGCCTATATTATAAATCAGTGAATCTAGCAGAGATCCAGGGTATCTTGTCGTCAGTCAATATAGTAAAAATAGTTACTCTTATCGTAGATACATGACTGCATATACTTTAAAATAGATACCCTGTAAATGTAAATAGATGTTCTACCTATGGTATATACCTCTTATTCTTCTATAGGGTATCTTTTTTCAATACTATCTAACTATACTTCATCGTTATATTCCCGTATTGCAGAAATACCCTTTATTTTGCACTTTGTGTTCAAATATACCCTGTAATTATATTATGTGATATGCTTGAGAACGTTATCCAATGCTAAGCTAAGCAGTCCAAGAGACATAGCCGACTGACAGATATCCTATGAATTTGACCAAAATATACCCTATACTTAAATCATTATATTATATTCGCGTCACAAAAATACCCTATAAAACTCTTTCTATATATACAATATTTAAATTGAGTATATAAGATCTTTGAAGTACAGATGTATATCTATATAGTTATATAGAGTATGTGTAGTTACAGGGTATTTCTGTATTTCTTTTATATTTAATATTATATTATATAATATAATATTAAATCTATTAAGGAAGTTATATATGTATGTATGTATATATAACAATAAATCCATTAAAGAAATGCAAAATAAATACCCTGTAATTCACGAATAACATATATGATATATATATTCATTATACACAACCATTTCAGAGTATTTGATTGTTCCCATTCTTATTAATTCAATAGATTCCCTATACGCTTGATGTACCCAGTAATTCTGTAAAATTTCTCCCAATTAACACTATCACTAACAACCTAGTTAGCCCAGCTTCAGGACTCCAATATGCTGCCGCTGCTGGCCAAGTTGATTTCTGCTATTGCTGAATTCGCCTCGCGATTGCGGCCAGACCAATCGATTGCAGTCAATTCGCCTTGCGATTTGCGCCGCGAAAGCGAAGCGAAAGGCGAAATTCGTGACGCTTTAGCACACATTAGATGGCGGGGGGTCAACGGACGAGAGGTCACCGTTAGCTTAAGGCAACGACCTACCTGATGTTCCTTGTCTTTCTTCTGCTCGCGTTCGCGTTCCTTTTTGCGCTTGCGTCGACGGCTGCTGCGACTTGCCGCCGGCTGATGCTGCTGTCCCCCAAGCTGGGAGCTATCGAGGCCGATGGCAGCGCTGCCGCTGTCACCGATGGCGTTGGCAGCGCTGTCGGCATCACTGTTATTGTTGTTGCTGTTATTTAGCTTGGGCAGGGGCGGCTCAATGCCCCCCTTCTTGAGCGCTTTGGCAATGGCATTTTCAATGCTGACCGCATGATCGTCTGTGAGAGTACGGTGGGTGGTTTGGGATTGGAAAAGGGGCGCAATTAGAAAAGGCGTGACTGAGCAGAGCAATAGATATGTATAAACCAATCCCGTTGATGTTTACCTTCGAGTGGGCGTGGCTTCTTGGATTTGCTATTGTTGGGGACAGCCGTTTCGCTGCCCAGGAATATGACGTCATCGTCGTGCTTCTCGCTCAGGCGCTCAATGCCCACAAATTGGACCTCATCGTTGGAGCCGCAGCCCTTAAAAGCCGTTGGCTTTGATTGATGTTGTATTTGACTTTGCTGCTGCGACAGCGGCGGCTTTTGCTGCTGTTGCTCATCCTCATCATCATCATCGTCGATCTCGCCATCCTCGAGATCTTCGGCTAGATTTATTAACGGCGTTTCGCCAGCCACAACGGATGACATATCGCGTTTAGGTTTCAAATTGAGCGAAAAGTACTGCAAGAGATATTTAATCGAGGGATTTAGCTAAGCCAGGAGCAGGGCCGATCTCAACATTCGACATATATTATATATTGGACGCATATGCATAAAGATTCAAACGAACCGCTGACCACAGTGCGGCAAATATACATGTTGCTCGTCTCATTGGCAAGCAACATGTTGCTAAGTCGAAGCGAATCATTGCAGACACAAAAATCAAAAGCCAAATAGATAAAAAAAAATCACATGAAGAAACAACGATCTACATACTAAACCACATAAACACAAACCCACACACACACGTACACATGATATGTGAGCAATGCTGTCACACATTCACTATTGCATAGCATGTATACGCTCATAGTCGCAGTTTAGCTTTCCATTCACTTAGCACATAACATTGCCCTGTTAAACGCAGAATGTTGACAGCAACATTATGCACACACACAGACACTTGTTGCTTGGCCTTACAAATAGATATGTATGTATGTATATATTTATAAAGAGAGGGAAAGAGAGGAATGAGCAAATCTGCATACATGTACAAGTTTTACATGCATTGATAAAAATGTCTCAATTAGATTAAATACCAATATTAAATGCGTATTTACGCATCAGCATATTGCTGTTAACGCCGTTAGACACAACTGTTATTTGTTTGCATATTTATATGTATCTATGCATATGTATATAAATATGTATGATGCACGTTTTTGAGGCCAGCAGAAAAAATACAAAAATTACATACATACATACATGCATAACTTATTTTTGCAAGATTCTTGTAGCCCCCTTTAAAACAAAACACACACACATACAGACGCATTCATACAAATGTGTGTAATCGTAAGCAGTAAGCGCCGCTCTGACACGCTCTCCATTCTGGCTGACATATCATGTTGTCTCGCTTGCGCGCATGGCCTGAGCATAAAACGCAAATGCGTGACACACATACATACAATCACACACGAGTGTGAATGCGAGCGTGTGTGTGTGTTTTGGCTAAAACGTTCGAAATGCATATTGATATACATATGTATGTATATATAGATATAGATACAGTAACAGTTATAAATTATATTAGAAAAATTACACTTTATACTTGTCGCTTTTGTTGTTGTTACAAGTTGCCACATTTGTCAGAGCCACGCTGGGCGAAAGTTTTGCTCTTTGCTGCCGCTGCTCGTCTCTATATACTATGTATGTATGTATGTACGTAAAAATGTTGAGTGAGCGGGCGAGTGTGTGTGTAATGCGACGCCCCGCATGACACACGAACGAAAAAAGAACGCTACAATGGCCGCTGTGTACCTTTTCATATTCACATGCACAAATGCATGCCCGTGTATTGGTATATGTGTATGTATACGAATGCATGTATGTATGTGCGTATATTTACATATATATACGCATGTACACAGAGCGGGCCCCGTAAGAAATTATTGTTTAAGTTAATATTTAAAAAAGAAAAATGGGAACAATTCCTTGTTAGTTTTTCTTTGCGTTAAGCTGTTCTTTTCTGTCTTGGATTCTTCTTTGACTAGGGAAATGCGGGCGTGGATGGCAACAAAAACAAAAACGAACAAGAGTTTGTTGCGAAAAATTTGAAAAATATAGTTTTGTGCTAGCATGTTTTTTGTTGTTTGTTGTTGTTTTTGGAACAATTTCTCTTACGTTTCAGCGTGGGCGTGGTTTGTGGTTACGGAACATTTACAAATTACAGTTATTAATGGTTTATAACATTTCTGTTCAATTTCGTTGCTTTGTTGGTTATATTTTGGTTTTGTCGATTGTTGTTTCCCATATTTTGGGTTGATTTTTGTCTTTTTTGTTTGCTTTGCTTTTGCGTTTTCTTTTTTTTCTGCTTTTGCTCGCTTGGCGTCGTAGAGTTCCCGCTGCTTACATAATGAAGTGGTACAGTAGGTGAATAGATATGCATATATGTATATAAAATATGTGAAGGTATATATATATATATATGTACATATACTGGCATACACACATATACATACGGCTATAGCGTAATATGCGTGTGCACACACATATATATGTATAGCATTTATCGTATGAATATATGTACATATATATATGTGGTATATATGTATGAGAAATAAATATTTCTTCTCATTTTCTTCATTTTTTGGTTTCTTCTTTTTTGTACATTATATGCAAGCTGTCGCTCTCTTTTTCTCTGACTGTGGCCCTGGCCTCTGTATATGTCTGTCCCTTTCTCTCTGTTTCGCTCATAGACAGAATAACAAATACATTAAATAATTAAAAACTCGTCAACATGAGCGTTGTTAACAATTCAACAATATCTACTTGAATGATTTGTGAAAAGTGCAATTGTATACCACGAACACAAACCAGGGCTGCAAGCGCGAGAGGTGAATTTCGGTCTATAAGTTTGTTTCTTGAAAATAGCTGGCAGCACTGACTAAGTCCAATTTTGTATGTAAAATTTTAGCATGACGGTTCTACAAGACGCTTACAACTGATTTCCCTAATTAAACAAAATGGCAATAATTTAATTATCAAATCTGGACTGTAGTATTGTCGAAATTAATATTACAGACTTGGCGCCACTAGTCTTTAAGTTACATGTTTGGCAGCATTGCCATCGCTGTCCCTGGTGAAATTGGTCTTTCGATAGGCAGCAGAGTTGCGAAAAGAATTCAGCTAATTTGTGTAAGCATTAGGACACCTATGCAGAAATGTTGATTTATGTATATAGATATACAAAAAAAAACTTATAGACATATTTATATATATAGTATTTGGACTGATGTGGTCAGCATTGCAGATATCATTATCTTACCTTAGACATAGGTTTAGACCACTCTTTATTATTAATGCGCTTGCTAAATATAACTTCTTGTACTTTAATACAAGTAACAATTATTTTTATTTTTGTGATTATTTGTTTTTTGTTTTTTGAAAATTGTCCTGCTGCGATGCATGTAACACAGTAATGAACATTGATTTGTAATGGAAGTACATGAGTTGCTTTTTTCGTTTTGAGTGAAAAGTCAAGGCAAGTTGCTAACTTTTTTAATTTTGAAATGACAACGAAATCGATAGGTGATTGCCGATAAGATTAGTGTGACCGTGTGAGCTGCAGTATAGAACAGGGGTGCACAACACGATAGCGTGTTGAATTTGTTTTTTCTCTGATTCAATTTTTTTTTTTTTTTGCTGAAGTAAATACTATTATAAAACTTGATTGCGTTTGTATAATTAACACCTTTGCATCGTTTGGGCTGTATACGTTCACAAGGACTGTAGTAGTTGTATTGGAATTGCAAGCGAAACCGATCAGCTCTAATCGATAGTGAAAGTATGACCATATGCGCTGATTTGAGATTTTAGAAAAGGTCACATCTTGTAATCGCGTGCTGGATCTTTTTTATTTTGATAACAGATAGGAGCAAATGCAGGACTTGTCAATGCATTTAATTGCGTATAAGCGATACAAATAGCAATATAGTGCGCGTGCGCACGTTCGTATGCGTGTGAGTGCCCTGGTGGCCTGAAGCTGTGCCAGCTGCTGCTGATCTCCACATCATTGACTTTTTGGACTTCCCCGCGATCAGTTCGTGCAATGCAGGCTCAACTCGATAATCTGCATTTGGATGATTTGCCCTATCTGGAACGTGATCTTAACTTGCCACAAAAGGTAAGCATATATACTAGTATTTCCATAATTCATATTATACGTACAACATCGGCTTTTAGGTTTCCCTGGCCTTTCTACTGTTCGGAGATCAGCACGCCTTGGCCAGCTACATATTGCAGCGACTGTTGGCGCTTATGCGCGCACCGCCAACGGAACAGCTTCACAGTGATCTACTGCGTCAGTACGCCCAGACGAATCCGGCCAACTGGCGTGGCCATCTGGTCGAGGCGCTCTGCATCATCGGCGCACGCCAAGTGCTCCGCAAATTGGGCTTCCGGTGGTCTGAGCTGCGCCTACATTATTTACCCCATGTCCGGGAGCTGACGCTGCACGTGCATCCGCTGCTGAAGGCCCTGTACAATATTTGCGAGCAGCTGACGGTGGCGCAGAGCGGACGCCTCGTCCTAGATATCAACGACAAGCTGGCCCGAAGGCGCATATCCGGCGAGCATGATGAGCCCTTGCGCTTCTATGACTACTCGTACTTGGAGATCTTTCTGCTCGACTGGCTGACTCGTCATCATCTACGCCTGGGCGACATCGATGCTATTGGCAGCGATGTGCAACTGCTCATTGAGTACTTTAAGTTCAATGACCTCAATTCCCTGGCCACGCTGCTCATCCAGACGGTCAACAGCAGCGCCAACGAGTCCAGCAGTCGTTCGCCCGAAAACAAATACGACACGGATGATTTGCAAAGTACTCCAGTTGCTTCAAGTGCAGCAGCAGCAGCAATAGCTGCTCCTGCTGCCGCTAAAACTCCAGGTCCAGCGCCTTGCACAGCACCTGATGCTGCATCATCTAGGATCAGTAGACAGCGACGCTCCAATGCTCTACAGGTGCATCGGGATAGGGCTGGAATATTGCTCATAATCAATCAGCAAAGTTTTCATCGCAATGTGAGCGAGGAGTTAAAGGTGAGTAAGAAATCAACTTATCAATCAGTTGTAAATAGATAATAACTACCTAGTCATTGTTAATTATTTATCTGATGATTTGTATAATCTATGGAAGATTAGCTCTTTGAATGTGAATTTTTAAATGCATATTCAAAAAGCAAAGCGACTGTTGCCTCTGCTTGGCCTATCGAAAGTCCTTTTCTTTGGCAATTTTTAGCGCATTTTGCATTTCGGTGCGTAACGTACTTTATCGGCATAACATATTGGCTATCGATACACAGAGACCAAAATGAGTATTTGACCTGCAAACAACGACTTTAATACCTTTAATTCGTGTAAACAATTCGCAGGAATTCTTACCCACAGAGAAGCTGACGCAACGAAATGGCACCAATGCGGATAAACAGCGTCTCATTGATGTCTTCTCGCCGCTGGGCTACGAAGTGGAGGCACACGATAATGTGGACCATTTGACGATGATCTCCCTCATACGCAGTGCCTGTGCCCGATCCCAGCTCCGGGATTCGCTGATTGTGTGCATATTGTCGCATGGATTCGAGGGCGCCGTTTACGGTGCGGATAGCATACCACTGAGCATCGAGGACGTCAAGAATGTACTCTGCTTCGATGAGAGTCTGCACGACAAGCCCAAGATGTTGTTCATCCAGGCCTGCCAGCAAAACGAGAAGAAGCTGAAAACGGTAGACGACCATAGATTGTTTCTAACTAAATATCTCATACTCACTGTCCCTTTTTACGTATTTAAAGCGCAATGTGAATGCCACGACGCACTCAGCCAGCCAGTTGGCAAACATGGTGGTGGCCATGTCCACGGTGCCGGGATTTGTTGCTCTACGGCACAGCGTGCAGGGCAGTTGGTTCATCCAGACGCTGTGCGACACTGTGCAGAAGCATGCGGGGAGGTAAAGATGTCATTCCAAGTTTGACGATTACTTTGCTTTAAATATCATAAGGATTTTCGAAATCGTTTTCTAATTCTTGCTTAATCTTGCAGCGATCACATCCTGGACATCCTGACCCTTGCTGCCGGACAGGTGATCGAGAAACGCGGCGATAAGGATCAGAAAATGGTGCCCATTGTTATCAACACGTTGACAAAGAACGTTTATCTCTCTGAGGCCACCTGACGCGAGTCCCGCGTGCTTCCCTTGCAGAAATTCGATTATAATTTCTCTGTGCGTTAATAACTTCAGTCAGCAATATATGTGCATATATTTAGTTTATTCTTGATTAACATCATTTATGTCTCGTGCTAATAGAGTTCAGCCAGCTGTTGCTATCTCTTTCTGATTCGCTGCGCACTTTATACTTTGGAACGGCAGGACAATGGAAAACTAATTGATTATTGGCGTTGCCTCTATAGCGTCAGTATGAAATATTTTCCGTCTGAAATCCGATTCTATATGGTGTATAAATAGGCTTATTAAGCTAGTCTACAAGTTTTTGTTGTGGTAGCTAAGCTACATTTACGACAAGTGCATTTATCGATTATTATCGATAATAGGTATATGTTATGCAGGAATATGCATTAAGTCTCTAGGGGAACTCGGCTAGGTTAGCTCAGTTCAGATTTCTTCTGTACAGCAATATATATAATAATGGGTTTTGCCACACCCCCATCTGCATGGTGCTCAAGGTATCAAATAAATATATGTATATGCCTTACGACTCAACATTTGTCAGAGTTTCTTCATCATGTATCTGAAGAGGTTTCAAATTCTAAAATAAAAAATCTACATTTATTTGTTGTGAACAGAAACATTTTTTTATTGACATTTTCAGAGTTTTGAAAACATTTTCTTTTTGTTTGTTTTTACAATTTTTTTGTTTACATTTTCGTTGATTTTTATTTGTGTGTTTCCTTTTCTGTTTGGTTTATTGTATCCCTCTGTCGTATCATTTGGTTTTATATAAAACCAACTTAAGAATCGTGTTAGCGTTGGTTTTATATAAAACCAATTTAAAGCACGTAACCGCATTAGCCTCAGCGTTTACGTGAAAACCCGCCCTTTTTTACAGTTTTTTTTTGTACATTTTCGTTTACGTGTTTCGTTACGTGTTTTACAGTGTTTTTTTTTTTTTTTTACATTTTCGTTGATTTTTTATTTTGTGTGTTTCCTTTTCTGTTTGGTTTATTTTATCCCTCTGTCGTATCATTTGGTTTTATATAAAACCAACTTGAAAATCGTGTTAGCGTTGGTTTTATATAAAACCAATTAAAAGCACGTAACCGCATTAGCCCCAGCGTTTACGTGAAAACCCGCCCTTAAATTACTAGATTCTCCGGGAAATTGGGATAGTTATAAAATTAAACTTCAGAGAATAGCTTCTTAAACGCTTCGCGTAGCTTATAGAAACCTGTATGTCCTGAATCTGGCTTAAAGTCGGCGATGTTTTTTTGGATAATACGTGCAAACTCCAAGTTTTCCGGTTTGTTAAATGCTCGACGGTAATGTTTTAGTATCAGTTCGATAATTTGTTCGCGGCGCCTGGTATTTGTCGAGGTGAGGGGGATTTGCGCGGAGAAGGTGATCATAAGTTGAGGAATACCCTTCCATTTACTGCAAAGGATGACGTTGAATAATTCAAACGTGTATTTGCTATTGCGATGACTGGACCAATTTATAGCAGCGTCATTAATAAGTGTCCAAACGGGGGTATCAGTCACTTCCATATCGTTGAATTGACTCACTAAATGAGCGATCGAGCAGTATGTCAATTTAGTCACGTCATCGAGTGGGGTTTTCGATTTCTGTCCCAGCTGATCAAGCAGGCTCTTAATGTAATCGACTAGCGGTGTCTTATCCTCATCAGGTGTCTCGAAGACAATATCCTGTTTCGTCAACTGGCGCATCACTCTTTTGGCGGCGTCAATCAGAGGCTTGAACTTGACCTCCTTGCTGCACTTATTGAAGATCTTCTGAATGCAGGCCATTGAGTCCAGTATAATCTCCTGTTTCGGTTGCGCTTTGGCAAATTCCTCCACTAGATCGAAAACCCGCACGCGCAAGTGCAGCAATGTGGTTTCAGTGATGCGTACCGACTTGGGTGGACGCTTCTTCGAGCCCTTGCCCTGTTGGCTGTTGCCCTTGGACTTTCTGTTCATCTGGAAGGCGGCTTCCAGTGCCTTGTTGAGCCGTTCGCCCTCCTCTTCGTCTACGTCATTCCAGTCAATGCTATCATTGTCATCATTGCTGTTTGGTTCACCAAGTAGGGCTTTGCGGACTCTTTCGCGCACTTCCTCGATTTCAGTAGCAGATGCCTTATCCTCATCATCATCCTCCTCCTCGTCTTGGTCGTTGTCGACATCGTCGTCGTCGTCGTCGTTGTCGACATCGGCATCGTCGTCGTCGTTATCGTCACCGTCCTCCTCGTTCATATCATCATCCTCATCGCTATCCGCAATGGTAACAGAACTGTCCTCAAAGGGATTTTTATCGACATCGACAAAGTCCAAGATCTGCTTCAAATTATCCTTCTCCAGGTACGGCATCAACACAACGCTGATCGAATTTATAAATTGACGCCAATAGTTGCCCGTTTGGAGCAATAATTGAATCAAAACATCTGTGACGACCGACTGCCATTTGGGCTCCGATTCAGTAGTGGCCTAATGAAAAATAAGAAGACGAATTAGAACAATGTTCATTTAGATCAGCTCCGGTTAATATCCATGCCACTGCTAACAGCAGCTGTTAATGTACTTACACTGGACTCATCAGCCTGCGACTTGGACTTGATTGCATTCTCCTTGCAAATCACCAAGTCATCAATAATATCCAAGTCTATGGTGCTCTTCTTGAGCAAAGTTGCGGCGGCAACGAACATGAGGAGCGTATCGAAAATTAAACCATATGTCTTGATTCCTTTTTGCTTAATCGGATCCGATTTCACAATCTTTAGCACGTTTTCCCATGACGTGCGCAGTTCAGGAGTGAGCTCAATGCGCAGCTTCGACTCGTTGCCTGGCTTGAATGAATAGCGTGAAATCTCCAACAGAAGTGTGCGCAGCACTTTGTTTAAATTTTTCAACTGCACTTTATTACCACTAAGCTTGTGGACGAGACAGTTGAACACGGCCTCCTCGCAAAGTGAGGCTGCCTGACGACTGAAGACTGACGCATCGGCGGCTGTGCACTTCTTCAGTTTATCGTTGAGATTGAAAAGTGCAGCCTTATATAGAAAAGCTAGGTGCTCATCGCGCTTCGAATGTGCGATATTTTGCATTTTCTTAAGGCAAAGCACACGATCCGATGATTTCATTTCTTCATTGTTACTTGTGAATTTGTGAAAATAGAAATCATAAATATGATCCAATCCCTCCGTAGACAGACAGCCGAACGGGACACAAATGAATTGCGGCTTTAGTGAAATTGAATCCAGATTCAGTTCCTGCTCCAGCATGGGACGCAGAATTTCAAGCTTGGTGTCATCCTTTTGCAATATGTGCTCCAAACATATAGCCATTGAAGTCTGCAATCGATGGCAGAAATAATCCATCTTGTTGTTGCTCAAACTTTTCTTTTTGGTAGCATTCTTTTTTACATCCTTAAGTTCTTCAATCATCATGGCCACCAATGGCTTCGAGCCAAATACTTTTTTCAGCTGGACACGAGACTCAGCCTCGGGCTTGTGACCCACATGAGAGACTATACCAGTTAAAGTGCTCAATATCAGGCATTTCTCTGCGATGTTATTAGTCGGCAGCTTTTCGTCAACAAACTTCATCCAAGCTTCCAATGCCTGCTCATTGCTGCATGCAGACAGAAAATGACCTAATTTATATGTGGCATATTTGAATATTGTGGGTGGGTTCATGTACAAAGCGAATAGCTGCTCATATTGCGGCGACTGATTGCGCCACAGTATGCCCTCCAGCTCCGGTAGAGACAACACCGTTGGGTACATAACATGGACTTTGAGTAATAGATCACAGGTGTACTGCTTGTGCGCCGTTATGGGCATATTTAGCGCTGGCTTCACAACGCTCCAAACGGAAGTCCCGAAGGTTGACACATCCATCTGGAAAGGAATAAATACACTGGCTTAGTTGACAGCAGAGTTAATGGAAATTTCTTTTCAGTACTCACAAAATCAAACAATTCACCCAAAATGTCGGCACACATTGATGTCAGATACTCGCGTCCATTTAAGTGAGAAGCCAATACTGGAATGAACGTTAGTAGTAGTTCTGTTGATGGCTCCACAAAATATTTGCTCTTCATGAAGGACAAAACGGTAATCAATTGTCCAACGCCGGCGAGAGACTCCTCCTTGCCCTTCTGGCTGCCATTACATGGCAGTTCATGTTTCATCAAAGCCACCATGTCAATCGGATTGAGGTCAGGCACAACGTCAAATATGGACCTTATATACCCGGCGGCTTGAACCACCATGCCCATGTTGTCGGCACCGGTGCAGCGTATCAAGCGCTTTAAGGCATAGGCGACGGTGGCTGTGCGCTGTAAACAAATTTATTAAAATTAATCAACTTTTAAATGAGATAACGGCAATCGTATGTATATAATATATATTTGATAAACCACTATTATACACTGGATTTACATGACCGGTATTCTAAATAAGACAGAAATCAATATGGTATAAAATAAATATGAATCTCTATCAAAAATTCCTAGACTCTGGGTATAAAGTTATGGGAGATTTAATTAAATAATTGATTTTTGATAAGGCTGTCGATTTTATGATGCGGATAGATGACGGCTTAAGCTTCGAGTGTTCTTAAAATACTTTCAATAGATATATTTTCATTGTTCATTCACACTTACATTTTGTTCAGCCTATATAAATCTAAACTCCACTATTTTACAGTTGCAATGCGAATTAACTTTTAAAATTGTTTTGCCATTTCACTTTGTTACTTAAAATTTGCAAGGCCATTTCATTTTATGAAAACTTACTAGAATTCAAGAAAGTTAAAATTTGTTTTTCACTTAGCATTTTGTTTGTAAATTGAATGTAAAACTTGAATAATATATTCAATGATCGCAAATGACAAACTAAAATTGCTAAAATGGCCAAATTTTATTGTGACAGCGGCCATTTTTTTTTTTTTTTTTGACACTTCAAAAATTGTAAATTACATTATGATTTTTTTTTTTTTCAGCATTTTTGTTATTTTTTTGCAAACACAATGTATTATTCCATTCATATGTTCAATGAACGCCTACAGCTAAATGCAATTGCAATAAGGGCTAAATATTAAAGCTTTTCATTTTCAATATTTAGCCGTTGCAAGTTGCACCTAACGGCAAATGTAACATCCCCCATTAAAAAAAAAAAAAACACACACACATGTTTCTTTTTATGACAGTTCAAAAATTATTTTCTTGAATGTTATGGTACATAACTTAGCAATAAGGGCTAAATATTAAAGCTTTACAATTTCAATATTTAGCCGTTGCAAGTTGCACCTAACGGCAAATGAAACATCCCCAACGAAAAACAAAAAAAAAAACACACACACACACACGCACACACATGTTTCTTTTTTTTGACAGTTCAAAAATTGTAAATTATTTTCTTGAATGTTTTCGATGAAATGAGTATTGGTACATACCTTAGTTAAGTCCTTCTCTGAGCTAAATAGTTTAATCATCTCTTCTACATACTGATGCTTGTGCTGATTTGAATCGTTCAGCAGTTTGGCACATATTCGAAATATATTCTTGTTTATGTTAGCCAAGTCAGATTTTAGAATATTTTCCTGCTTGACCAAGACTTCTGCATTCTGTTCCTTTTTGGCTAGCGGATCCGGAGCTGAGCAATTGCGTTTTTTGGGGCAAACATTTTCATTCTCTGCATCCATTTCATTGTTAGGCCGCTTCCCAGTGTTCTTTGCATTTGCCTGCAACTGCGGTTGCTCGTTATCAATTTTATTCTCCTTCTGTTCTTCCGGCATTTTCTTTATTGCTATTGGCGGTTTAGCAATTAGATTTTTCACTGTTGGCGGTTTAGCCTTTTCTTTTAATACTTTCATTTTCAAAAAAAAAAAAAATTATCAAAACAAAAATTAAATTTTAACAAATTTTTGGAAACTGCTAAGTTAGTTCTACACCTTATGAAGCACGTTTTCAAAGTGCTCATTTGCTCACTGAATGTGGCTTAGCTGTAGTGTACAGGGTTCTATGATTGGAATTATCGATTTTTCGTTTCGTACTCAAGGCAAGTATGCAGCTTATTACAATCGTTTGGTAATGACATATAAATGAAAGCTGTATTGTTATATAAATGCAGGTACAAAAATATTTAAATAGCAGATCATTATTTAACAAACAAATAAAATAAAATCAATACTACAATATATGTATTATATATATACACCATCAAATATTTTCAGTGGCATGTTTAGTAGGGAACTGATTATAATGATTTTGTTAAATGAATGCTTATAAATTGCACTATATAAAATTGCGTTTCAAAGAATATTTTCTGCCTCTCTTTGGCAGTTGTGCCATTGCTGGAATAGCGTGGAATTGGATCGATATTAATCGCCCAGCGATACTTGGCGTGAGCTGCATACTATTTTAAAACAGCTGTTGCGCGATTGCACGTGTTGCCAGAGCTGCATGTAATTTTTACCCTTATTTGGTTGTTGTTTTGATTTTTGCTGCTCGGCGGCGTCTTTTAACCGGTAATTGATAAACGTCTATTTGACTCCACAAAGAAGATAAAACTCATCATGGGCAAAAACAAGCGCAACAAGCAACAACAGCAGCAGCAACAACAACAACTGCATCAACAAGAGAATCAACAGATCAAGCATGTGCTAGAAGCAGCTGCTGCAAGTGATGCAGCCGTGGCATCACCGGCAACAACAAAAACAACAACATCTACAAATAACAAAAAGCAGGCGAGCAGCAGCAATAGCAACAACAACACAAAAATGCGCAACAAGCAACAGCAGCAGCAACAACAGAATCAACAACAAGAACAACGTGTACAAATAACAAAAGTCAGCCGCATACCCAGCCTCAAAGACAAAGTTCGCCGCGCATTAAATCAGCTCGCCCAGGACATCTTAGAGCTGGTGCAAATGCAGCCGGCCAATGCGAACGATGAATGGAAACAGTATGTGGAGCTACAGCGACTGCTCGATCGCATGATCTTTCACGAGAAGCCGCTGCAAGAAGCTGTCTTTCCGATGACGGACGCCCAGGTGACTGAACAGACTCGATTGGCCAAGATTGAAGCCTTCAATGAATGGGCACGAGCCGGCGGTGTGAAAACCGATTGTGTGGAAATCGCAACATTTCCCGGCTATCAGTTAGGCTTGCGTGCCACACGCGACATCAAGGCGGGCGAACAGGTACTTAGTGTGCCGCGCAAGCTCATCTTTTCGGAGGAACTGCTGCCCGAGAAGCAGCGTCAGCTTTTCCACAATTTCCCCACCCACCTGAAGGTCACATATACGCTGATTATGGAGAAATTACGGGGCGCGGAAAGCCCCTGGCAGCCGTTCATCGATACGTTGCCCTCGCGCTACAACACCGTGCTCTACTTCACCGTGGAGCAAATGCAACGTTTGCGTGGCACCTCGGCCTGCTCGGCTGCTGTGCGGCATTGCCGTGTCATTGCACGCCTCTACGCCTCCATGTACAAGTGCGCCTTCATGCAGCTCGATGACAGCGTTATGGGCGGCATGGCAAATCTCTTCACCGAGTACGGTCTCTGCTATGAGCTCTATCGGTAAGTGCATGAAACGTGTTTCATATATTTCCCCTGTCCCCCCTTTATGACGACCGCTAACGATTTATTCAATTATGTACTTAAATATTTGCAGCTTCTTATACTAAGCGGCAATCTGATGATCTAGGGGTTTCTCTTTATTCCTCTAATTATAGAGCTTAAGAAGGTGACATTTCCATGAAACTGTTTAAAGAAATTAAGGAATCAATTAAGGAATGATTCATATTACTGAAGACTCATTTCTGAATGGATTCTTAGTCCATCTGCTTAGATTCTAATAGAAAACAGATTTGCTTTTGCATTAGTCAATTTTTGCTTGTGTTCAGTGTTTCATTTCTCATTTGCTGCCTTGCATCGCCTTTGCGCCGATTGCATTCCAAATTCTAAGAATACTGAAAATGTTATTTTAAGCAATTGTTTCTGTTCAGTGTTTCCATGTATTTGTATATGCGGCTGCCAGCAGCTTGTAACTGTTTCAGTCAGCTGCATTCTTGGGTATTTGCGTATTTTGTGCCTACATCCGTTTCACATTCCAGCATTCCAGCTTCACGCTGTTGATTGCCTGAGCATAGCGGAACAGCTTGAACTCGATTGACTGCGGCTTTTTATCGTTTGGTTTCCAATGTTCCTTATATACGTTTCCACTATTTTGCTCCAATATTTTATGGCCTTAAACTTCCAATCATAAATTGATTTAACAAATTTTAAAATATTTTCTTTACTACATTTTATTTCCACAAAAAAAAAGAAAAAAGAAAAGAAAGATAAATAACTTAAACTGAGAAAACAAATCGTAACTTATTTACATGCTTACATTTATATATCTCTGTCATATATATTTAGATATATATGTATATATTTATATTTGTATTTGAGTTGGATTTCTTGTATTTTGTGGGCACAAAAAAATGAAATCGTGTTTCAAAATTCATTTCATATTTCTTTTATATTATTTTATTTGCAGTTATTCTAATTTGCCAGTGTTGGGCAGCTTGCTATATTTTTCTAGTGCACATGGGGGTTTTGGCTATAGTATAGTTGTTGTAGAGCAATGAATTTGGTTTCGTTTGCTGTGATTCGTATCGATTGGAAAATTTATTGTCGTCAAACATTGTTTTCTAAATTGTTTTTGGGATTTCCAACAGATTTTTGCATAATTTGTTTCGTCGTTTATTTTGGTGCTCGCCCTCTCTGGTTCTTACGCTCTTGTTCTCTCTCTCTCTCTCTCTCTTTCGGTCTACCTATCTATCCTCCTTTGTGCTCTAGAGAAACCCATTTCAAATTCTATTTGTGCCCCTGAAACGCAGTTTTTTTATGATCACTTATCTCGACTTTTCGGATGATTTTGCATTTCCTAGTTTCACATTTACTGGATTTATGTTTATTTGTGTTTAAGGTTAGCTGTAGTTCGAACTGTAATTAGAGTCTAAGATTTAAATACTATTTATTTAAGTACGTGCCTAAGGCTAAATATGACACAGCCCTACAAATCGCATTTACTGAATTTCATCTGATATATATATAGAAGCCGCATGCGGCACTTTATTCGTTTGGATCTGATATATTTTGGTTGGAGGCCTTCCATTCCATTTCTGCCCTTTCAGACGCGTTAAGTGAGATATAGCGGAAGCTGGCATTGAACAGATTCTTCTTGTTCTTCTATTACTCGCACTTTTTCGGTACTTCTCTGTATAGTGAGCTTCATTTGCCTTTGCAAAGTTTCGTTTCCTCTCCATCTTTCTTTGTCTAGCTTCTTTTTTCAATGTCATTTGGAAAGTATTTTATAGGACTTTTTTTTTCTAGGTTTTTTCCTTCTCTCTCTCTCTCCCTCTCCTTTCCTTTTCCTTTTCTTTCCTTCTCTTGCTCTATCGTTTCTCCTTTGTCCACCACTTTACTGTAGGTTGAGCTTCTTGACTCGTCTTCAACCTCTCGTCAGGTTTTATCTCTGTTGGTTTCTCACTTATCTTAGCCCATTTCCCAATTTCTCAATTTACTTACGTTTCTTCCTTCCCCTTTTGGCCTTGCAGATAACTTTTCTTTCTACTTCATTGGAGATTTTTCTTTACCTTTCACTTGTTGCTTTTAGTTTCGTATATCGATTCATTTCTTTTCTGGTTTCGTTTCTCAATTAGTTTTTCGCTGAGCTTATCTTCCTAAGGGACCTAAAGCTTGATCGATCTCCCCTCTTTCTCTCCTCCTCTATTTGCTCTCCCTCTTTCTCTCTCTCCAGTCTTTTACTTACTTCTAATCTCAACTTGTTTGCATTTTTTCTTTTTTAAACAATTTGTAGGACAGTGTCATATGAGCCCCATGCAACGACTGTTTTTACCTCTTCTTCTTTCTACGTTTCTTTTCTTTTACTATTCTTAACTGCAACCACATACACAAAAAAAAATCCACTTCTCTTAAATTCATAAACTAGCATATTTTCCGTGTATATTTAGATTATGTTTATATATCATATATATATATATTTATATATTTATAGTTTATATAAAACTTGGCCTAAACGGAGCGAATACCATCAACGTTTCTCTAGGGGTGTGTGAGAGTGTGTGTATTTGTTATCTAGAGCCTAGTGCTTAATTAATTATCGAATGATTTGCGCAACGTATCGAATAGGTATTCCTGCACCTCGGGCGAATTGGGATCCATGGTATTGAGTTTCTGATGCGTGCTGCGCAGTGTTAATGCCAATGAATTGACGCCACGCCCAGCTGCTGTTGCGGTGGCAGTCGCTGTTGTGGCAGCCGCGCCAGCAGATGTGACTGTTGCTGCAGCCGCAGCCGATGTTGCTGCTGCCGCCGCTGCTGCTGCTGCTGCTGCTGCTCCTGCTCCTGCTCCTGCTGCTTTCGTCACAGAGCAGCCCTCGCGGCTGAATAGCAACGAGCTCTGGCGCTGCAGCTGATGTGAATGCTGTTGATGCTGATACTGATGGTGCACGGGCGTGTTGCACGACACTGTGGCAATGCCGAGCGCAGATTTGTGCGGCTTGTGGCACATTTCGCTGCTATTGTTGCTGCTGCTGCTGCTGCTGGTGATGACCAGCTCCTCCATGTGCTGGCGCAGCGAGGAGCGACGCGAGGCGTTCGCCGTCTGCGCCAACTGGGGCAGCTTGCTCTTCATCGCATTGTAGGTCTTCAGGTAGCTCGACTTGCGCTTCCGATGCTGCTTCCAGCGGCACACCACAAAGATCACCATCAGCGTCGCCAGCGACGTCAGCACAATGGCCGCACTGGCCACCAGCGCCGATCGTATGCCCGCCGGCATGCTCGCATAGAGACTGCTCAGATGCTGCTGCGACATTGTTGTCGCCGCAGCTGCCGGACTGCGGCGGAAGCCATGCCCGGACAGCTCCAAGTCAAGCAGATCGTGTGCCCGCGCCACCTCATTCTCAATGGTATCGATGACATCGCTGTTGTCCTCGCTGGGCGCCAGTTTGCTCAGATTGCCGCTGCTCGGGCCGCCAAATGCATTCACACTTAGATCGATGTCCATGCTGTTGCTGCTGCTGTCGTCCTGCTCCTGTGAGCTGCCTGCGTTGCTGTCCAGCAGGAGGCGTGGCGGTGGCAAATAGTACGCGGCCCGCTTATCGTCCGCATTGGCGCCGCCAGCTCGAGCCGTGGCCAGCGAGGCGAGCGCCAATGTTTTCCACGACGGAAAGAAATTTAGCGACTTTTCGCCGCGCGGCTGCTGGTGTTGTTGTTGTGCTGTGGGTGTGGCTGATAGGGATGTTTGGGCATAGGCGGGTCCTAAGGAGAGACAAGAGAAATTGTTGATAATGTTTGGCGTGTAAAAGGATTTGTTTTGTTGTTGTGCGGCGTTTACAGCGAGCTGTGGCTTGTGTGCTTAACTACCAGGTATGATGGCATATTTGGTGTATGCGTTATCGATAACTGTCGAGGTACAAATAGGTTGGCAATCATTTCTATATAAGTAAGCATTCCTAATCAGGCATTGTTTGCTATGCAGACTATACAACTATATTATATATTTTTGTGTAATCGATAAAGTTGAATATAATCGTCTCTTGACTGATAAAGCACTGCCTAGTAACTCAGCATTTTCTCCAATATTCTATTACTGATTTTACAATTAATCGGTTATCGATCGTTGACAAGTTAGCAAAGTCCAAAAACAACACCCATGCCAAAAGAGTACAAATTGCGCAGCTCTAAATCAATGCATGTGTTATCGATGATAGTTATCGATAATGATATCGATAATAGTTATCGTTAATATAAGCTCAAAAATGATTATTGTTAGGATGGTTTTCGATTATCTCTAGCGCAGATTGATTAAAACAAGCCTGGTGTTAGTTATCGATAACATAGAGCTTATAAATCAGAATACTATAAAATCGATTCACAATTGCAATGGCTTCAATCATCATATAATTGTGTAGCCAACTCCACATTATACACCAATCGATAAGTCGATAACACACGCCAAATATGCCCAACACTCCCAGCGATTACTTACGTCTGTGCATTTGGCGTGCTGAGCTGCTGCCGCGCACTGCTGTGTGTGTGTTTGTTCGTGTGCCTTCCCGATCAACAACAACAACAACAACAGCAGACAAATCGAAATAGGAAAACAAAGAAAAAAAAAAGGAAAACAATAAGTGAATCGACAATGGAAATCATAATCATGAATCGATAAATGGCAACAGCTCAGCAGGCGCCAAATACTCGCGCATACTCGCACACGCTCACTGCATCAGCTGTCGGCGTCGCTGCTCGCGCTGGCGCTGCCGTTGACGTCGCAGCCGCAATGCAGTTATACCTCGATTGCGATTGTTATCGATGCCATCGCTGGCACCATCATCACCATTTTCATTATTCGGCTCAATATCGATAATCGATGTGAAATAGCTGGAGCCCTGCGAATCCGTTTTAATCTCATCCGGCTTCACGCTCTTCAAGTCGATCAAATTGAAATGCGGAAAATTCTCAAACGCCGTCACAATATCCATATTATCCTGCAGCACCACCTTCTGGCCGGGATAATAGCGCGATTGCTCGCTGCCCGAGCTGAGGATCGTGGATAGGTGCAACTGACTCGAGCCGCGTTTACGATGTTCGATCAGCTCCTCCAGCGTCATGTTGCGTTGCTCGAGCACTTTGAACAAACGATTGCCCGAACGTCGATCTTCGATTAGTTCAAGCAGATCCGTGCGATCGTCCACATCATCGACGAGCAACAGCGGCTGTTGTTGTTGTTGCTGCTGCTGCTGCTGCTGTTGTTGTTGCTGCTGCTGTTGTTGCTGGTGTTGTGTGCGTGTGCGTTGCTTGGCTGGTCGCGCTGTTGCTGTCGGCGCTGGCAAGCGTATGTGATGCGTATTGCTTTCGACTTCATCGAAAAAGTTCTCCAACTCATCGTTGCCCTCCTGTTGCTCCTCGCTGCTGTTGTTGTTGCTGCCGCTGCTGCTGCTGTTGTATGTTGCCGCTGTGCTGACGATGTTGTCGTTCAACTCCAACTCGACATCTTCTATGCCTTCCACGGAATTTCTATCGTAATTGCTGCCAATAATATTGTCTCGCAATCGCTTCGTTTGCTCTCTGCTGTTGTCGCTGTTGTTGTTGCTGCTGTTGCGTGTGCGATAACGTGTTGCTGTCAACAGCTCGCTGCTGTTTTCTTGCTCAGATTCAGATATATCAGCTGCAGCAACTGTTGCTGTTGTTGTTGTCTCCAGCAACAGCGATTCGTCCTCAGTTTGCTCGGTTGCTGCTGCTATTGTTGTGCCTGCTGTTGCTGCTGCTGCAGTTGTTGTTGCTGCTGTTGCTGCTGTGGTTGTTGATGTTGGCGTTGTTGTGCTGCTTGCTGTTGCTTTGAACAGTCCATGCGGCTTCAGTGTGGAACGCATCTGCTGTCGTTTCTTGTAAAGCGGCAATCGTGTTGTTGTTGTTGTTGTCGTTGAGCTGCTTGCAACTGTTGTTGCTGCTGTGCTGCTGCTTAGGCGTCGAGTGCTGCTGCTTTCGCGCGACGAGCTGCCAAATAGCTTTAAACGCTGCAATGCCGGCAGCTTATTCGGCTTGGGCTTGAACAGTTCCTCCCGCGAATCCTCCAGCTGCTGCTGCTGCTGCTGCTGCTGTTGATTCTCTTCCTGCGCCAGAAACGCGGCCGGTATGCGTCGCACACCATGCTTGTTGCCATTGCCATTGCCATTGCTACTGTGACTGGCTGCTGCTGCTGTCTTGGCCTCCTGGCTGGTAGCAGGCGCCACCGCTGTTGTCTGCAGCGCCAGCAGCGCATTCTGCTTGCCCTTGAGCAGATCGTCCAGCGACAGATTCTTCTGCTGCAATATCTCGCTGAGGCTGAGGCCGCCCGAGTTCTTCAATATGTTCTTCAGGTCAACAGACGTTTTGCTATTGCCTGTGGCAGCAATCGGCTGCTGCTGCTGTTGCTGCTCCTGGTCTTGTTTCTTGGCCTGGCCGTAGGGTCGACGGTAGGCCTTGCTGGCGCTCAAGGGTGGCGCCTCCGTCTGACGCAGCCGCTGACGCTCGCGCTCCCTTTCCAGCGCTGCCATCGGCTCGCGTATGGGCAACTGTTTGCGTCGACCAGCTGCAGCATCCTCCACATGGCCCCGCCAATAGGCGCCATTTGGCTCGCCCTCCTCCTCGTTGGCCCCCATCGTGGCTAGCGGCAGTTGCGGACGTCGCTTTCGTTTGCCTCCGCCTACACCAGCTCCGGCTCCGGATCCGGCCCCTGCTCCTCCGCCGCCCGGACGTCTACGTGGCACAGCTGCAGCTGCCTCCGGCGTTGATTTGCCATCGTCCACAATGAGCGAGACGCCCGTTTGGAGCAGCTGCTGCAAATGATGCAAAACAGAGAGAGAAAGAGAGAGAGAAGGAGAGAATGAGAGAGAGAAACATTGCTATCAGATGCTGCAAAAGAGATTTATTGCGCTGGTTAGCACATGGTCAGCGTTTCGATTGGCTTTCATTGATTGATGGACTGCATTGATTAATGACATTTCTGAATGCAGCAGCAATCAGTGTGCCAGCCAGTGTGGGTGTGTATGTGTGTGTGTGTTTGGATACGTGCGTGTGTGTGTGCGTAATCAATTTAACACTACTTTTCGCATATAATCGATAAACAAATGCAATCATTTGTATATATACAGTCGAGTCTCGATAATTTATACCCCGCTAAATAAAAAATCGCGTTAAATCGAACAATTCGATCAACAAAACTGATCCTCTAGCCGATAGATTAGCTCATTGATAATGCTGACACTGTACTTAGTTTTTTTGTTGCTTAAATGTCGATTAAATATTGATACTTGCTCTATCAGTCTATAATCGATATATCAATAGCTGAAATTGTGTATTTAACACATAGGTTTATTATATATTTCTAATGAATTCAAAGATGTTCTGGGTTGTAGATGTCATGTTATCGATAACTTATATATGACTGCTACGTAATGCACTTTAAAATATGTATATCCGTCGATATCGGTCGATAACATGACATACTTGTATAATGTATGATTTAATCGTTTAAATATGTTTAATTAATAGATGATAATAATTTATCGATAGTTTCAGTACCTGCAAATGGTTCTTTGAATAAATTTAATTAACAACGATCAAATTTCAATGGTTTTGGTATCGATAACTAGAATATAGTTTTGTTCAAATAACTTTAATTCTTAGTTGTCAGAATTATGTTCTCGATAGCTTTAATATCGTTAATCGATATGGAACTACACAAACTTAATTATTTTTAATGGACATTGCTGGAAATTGTGCAAATTATGTTATCGATAAATGTTAAATTTGATTAACTCTCTCGGCCAGCCAATCAAGGTTTGCTAATTTCTCGGCTACATAATTGCCTTGAGCATATCGCCACATCGTGGCAGACAAGCTGTCCAAACTTCGTAAACTGCCCGAATACTGAAATTGCATGGCAGATAGGTATGCCAATGGGGCAGAGCGAGAGAGACGCCATGGATTTAGCTATAGCCATTGACAGAGCTGCCAAACCGTGACTTCAGGCGCATTTCCGTTCACGTAATTAATTTTCAATTTAGCACCCAACCCTTGCCACCCAAACAGGCAACCTGCCAACCGCCCAGCCACCCAACCACCCAACCACGCAACCCATCTGCCTTAACCCTTGGGTCCTGGGTCCACATCCCACGTTTTCTGCTCTGATGTCTGCATAAGTAGCGTAAAAGCTAGCCTGATTATTCGCAGTCGTATTATTAACGTGCATGGGCTTGCCCGTCCCCAGTCGAAGCCCTGCCACGCCCCCTTGTTTTGCCTGAGTAATTGGCTGGTTCCAATGGTAACTCTTTCTCATTTGTTTCTGCTTCTGCTACTGTTCGTCCTCCTCCTGCTCCTCTCCTAGGCTATCGTTCTTTTCCCCAGCTCTAATCAGTCTAATGCAAATGCCGATTTGTGCATTTATGAGCTTTATGAGAGTTGTTGTCCATGTGGGCGTGGGTGTGAGTGTGCGCGTATGTGTGTGTGTGGGTCTGTGTAAGTCTGCGGTTTGTGCCTTGTTGCCCACATTAATGAAATTGATCAGATTGATTTTTGATGACCCACTAAAAGGCTTCTTTTATTTGTATCACGCGATGTGGAATGCTTATAAAAGATTGTATCTTGTAAATTGAATATGTATATATGTATAAATATTCAATATATAGAATTTTTTTGTTATGATACATATGTATACAAATTCGTTAATGGCTCTAAGTTAATTGAATTTGTTTTTGGCATTTAATTCCAAGGCATGTACTATTTATATATTGAAATCTTTCGTATTTTGTATAGAATAAAAGCATAACATGTATGCGTAAGAAGTATGAACACACACATATATAAGTATAGAGTCCCATACGATATAATAGAGCAGATGATTGAGTCAAAAATTCAAGATTCTATTTTTCAATTTAAGTTCCAAACATTTTGAATCCGATTACATATATTATGGTTTAATGAACCTTTTTAAAACTTATCGCCGTCTATATATTGTGTATACTTCTACCTGATGCTTGCATTCATTAAAGGCACAAAAACTCCGAAACTACCTGAGCGAATAATTAAGTTGAAGGCTAATGACAAAACTAAATTGTTGACGTAAAAGTTAAGCAAACAAAGCGCCAAAAACTTGCTACGAAACTCATTACACAATATGCTAGCCAAAAACAAAAGCAAACAGAAAGAGGGAGAGCAGAGAGAGAGAGAGAGAGAGAAGTGAAAAAGTTTTTGCGACAACTGCAAACAATGCAAAAATAATGTAAAATTGAAAACACAAACTCATTCTGTCGCAGTCACTGAAATTTCAATATGGAATGGAACAAGAACGAAATGGCATGGAACGCCGCTGACAATGCAACCGCATGAACAAATAAAAATAAACGGTGCAGAAGCTAAGACGCTGTGCTAGCTTGAGATGAGCTAGAGCGAGTTCATATTTTCCTTTTCGATAACATATCGATCAGTAGATTTGAGTATGCATATACATATGAATATGCATTTGCTGGTAAATAAGCCAGAGAGATTATAGTGCTTAGAGCATTTATACAGTCCACATGCATAATTTCAATTTCGATAACATATCGATTAGTAGATTTGAGCAGATATCACTAGGCATTTGCTGGTAAGTAAGCAAGAAAAAAAATGGTCCAGTGCTTAATGATTTTCGGCAGTCTATATGTATCACTTCCACTTCGATAACATATCGATTAGTAGATTTAAAGATATGTATATACATATGAAAATACTGGAGTTTGGGCAGTTGTGAGTTTAGCATTTAGTAGATATTAAAGTTTTTGTATCATTTTCCGATAAGTTATCGATTCTTACAACCTCACATAAAGTTCCTTTGGTTATCTTCACGTTACGCGCTCATCTCTATAGGTTCATAGATCCAATTCCAATTGCTGGAGGAAAGCGCATTAAACGCATTTCCTCTTAAATCAGTTGAGCTGTCTGGCAACGCTCGCTGTGTGACATGTTTTGTTGTTGTTATTTTCGTTGTTGCTGTTGTCTACCTTTCAAATTGGATGAATACCAGCAAAGCCCTAGCTGGAAAGTTTTACCCTTTTTTTAGGTTTTGGTTTTGGGTTGAGGTATTTTTTTTTTTATGTATGCTCATTGAAAATGCTTAAGCGGAGTATGCGGCAATGCTTTAATATGTGAAAGCAGGAAAAGAGATAGGAAAAGTATTTTCGATACCTATCGATAGCAGCAAGCTTTTTCTCCATAGCTGAAAGACTTATGGTAGTGGGAATCGGTATTCAACGATATCTACATCTTCTCTATAGCTAAAATACTTATGAAGCCTATATACAAACTTATAGAAAAAATATTTTCAATAGTTATCGATATCTACTTATAGAGTTCTAAAGCCTAAATTTGCCCAGCAATTTCATGAATATTCTTATTATATATTGATACAGGGTATGTTGCCGTCGCTCATTCGATGACGAGTGCACTCTTGTTTCAATTTGGCCAAGTTTTTGGCTGCAGAGATTGCATGCATAATGAAGATGGACGTCAATGGCAATCGAATTGTTTCATTCAGCAAAGTTTTAAACAAAGATCCCAAAAAGCGAATAGGAACTGAGCGCAGCTATGCCACAGTCAGCCAGCCAGCCAGCTAGCCAGACAGCAATTGAGCTCAAGAAGAAGAGCTCTCACTGTGGAATGAGAATGAGAAGACCAAGAACAAGCAGATGAAGAAAGCGACAACAGCAGTGGCAGAGGCAGAGGCAGAGGCAGAGGCAGAGCCAGAGCGGCAGAAGGAGGGGCGTGTGCATTGGGAGCAGCTTTAAAAATGCAATTCAGCGCGTGTTTTTTTTTTTTTTTTTTTGAGCTGTGCGTTGTTTTTTGCAGTGCATTAAATCAAATGGAGACGCTCGAGAGAGCGAAAGAGAGGCCGAGAGACAGACTCGGATGTGGCATGTGTGTGTGTGTGTGTGTGTGTGTGTGTGTGTGTGTTGACAGCAATGGCAACACTTTAGAACTTGGCCTGTCAGCAACAGCAACAGCAGCCTTAAAAAAGTTTGCGGCGTTTTTATAGTCACATAAGCTCACTTCCTTTTCGTTTTTCTAGATACTAGATCAGCAGCTAAAGCAGAGTAGATTGGCTTTTGAGTCTGTTCAATTCGAAATTTGGATGAGCAGTATTTATATGAAAATATCAATACTAATATAATATAATAATATTTATTTATATTAAAAGTTTATATATATTGATGTAGGTTTTTTTTTCGGATTTGTTAGGTACCTAAGGTCCATTTTAAAAACATCCTTTTATGCGGCATATATAAATAAGCCCTCAGAAGTTATAGCTCTTTCGGCTCTGATTGATTCGTCTGTTCCTTCTTACTTCTGCTCAGCTGTAACTACTTGAGAATTCTAAGCTTCAAAAGAAAAAGTTACAGCGAGTTTAGTTAAATTCTATATGCAACTTTACTTGCTTGAGAGGCTGGTCTAAGATCGGAACTTCCTTTGTCCATGCTAAATGATTTATGTGGCAGAATAGGGTATATAAAAGGTGACAATTTAAAAGTAATTAAAACTCTCTGTAGTCCCATAAATTAATGTATGTAAATACATATTTATGTTGACTTTAGGGTAGTTCAGTTAAGATCCATATACCGCTTGCTTCTGTACTCACTTTAGTATCTTGTTTCAACATATAGAGAATACTTTTTGTTTTGGCTCGGCGAGCATTACGCAGTCGTTCTATGCCTCTCTGTTTTCTGCAAATTTTTTCTTTCAATTTTTTGTTGTTGTTTCTTTTGTTACGCTCTGTGCCATTTTTTTGTACGTGCACCTTTTGACCCTATTTCTGGGCAGCGGGCAGTTTATTGCCCAAGCTGTTGAGCTGCAGCGTCTTCTTCTAGTTTATCAATGCCATTGTTGTTGTTGTCGCTGTCTGATGCAGTCGATAAATGTCAATGTTAGCGTTAAAGTTGTCATCGGGCGTGGAAAACGAAAGGAAATGCATAACTCCCTCACGTCTGAGCGTTCCGTTGCAGTTGACATAAAGTTGACGTGGGCTGTGTCTATATATTTTAATAATAAACGAAAGTCTGGCAACGCCATCAACTTTAAACTGGCCCTAAGCCATGATGATATAAATAATTTAGCTTATGATATCCCTTTCATGTCTCCAAGTGATACCAGGTGGGGCAGCGCTGTATTACTTAGAGCGCATCTATGACTAAGTAGAGCTGGCATTTGAGAGACTTTTTATTAAAGTTTGAGTCTCAGTTCAGTTTTTCATACATTTGGTCGTCAAATATTTAATGTTCAAGTCAAATATTCAACGAGCACTTGGAAAGAGGAAGCAAATTATTAGCTTGTAAATTCTTTCATGAAACTTTACTATACACTCAAATTTTTATTGGACGTCTAACAGTCTAGCCGTTTAGCTGTGCAAACTTTGTAGAGCTAGAGCTGTGGAAATTTGTCTACGATTATCAACAAAATGTTAGTGCAAGCTAAAATGAGAAATATAGGGAATGAAAAGGGGGCTCTATCGTGACTCTACAGCATCTTTGGCTGTTGTGCTGTCCTCTGCTATAAATAAATATTCAATTAGATAATAAATCGATATTTATCAGTTTTTAATCGATCGATAGTAAACTCCCACATATGCTCACAGTACGAGCACTGCGCCGTGAGAACGAATATATTACCTATATATATATATAATTAGAGATTAACAGTCGTAGATAAATAGAGAAGTAATGGAACGGTTCGCAGTCTCTTTACAAACGTTTGTCTCTTACAAAGCGAAACCCATTGATCCATTTATCGCTCTCTATAGCTATCTCCCTTATTGTTCATCAATCAATTAGTCAGCAGGACAAAGAGTTCTCCAAACAGGGGGAACTTTATTAACGAACGTGGTAGCTTTGTACCTTGACTCTGTCTAAATATATAAATACATTTGAAAAGCAACAACTTTGTTAAGTTTGATGCACTTATGAAATATACAAGTGAAATATTTTGGTAATTTTTGGCAGCAAAGACCCGCTCAAAGGACATTAATGGTCTCCGGCAAAGGACTTAAGTGCTGCGGGGGTAGGACTGGGTACTTTTTGGGAATTGTTCTTGTTGTTGGAGGGAAAGCCGCAAAAAGCTGCTTAGCCGCTGCTTGTCGCGTTTTGTTGTTGTTGTTGTTGTTGTTGTAGTTGTTGGTGCTGGCAATGTTCAGCCAAAGCATGCAATAGACCCGCCCAAGTCTCGTTGGCTTGTGTTCGCCGCCACTGACCGTGGCAACCCTTTCGACTTGGTCTTGTTCTGCTTCTTGTTTCTTTCTCCCTCTGGTTTTGTTTTTGTTTTTTCTTTTTTTAACCACTTCAAACAAGTTGCTGCTTTTCATAATTAAATTGAAAAATTTATGCGCAATTAAATGGAAAACTTTGCTTTGTGGTGCAAAGCAACGCAAAAGCCAATGCGAGAGAGAGCGAGACAGGCATGCAGACAGAGAGAGACAGAGGGAGAGGGAACGAGAGTAGGGAGAGAACGACTGGCTATAAATAAGTGTAGTTGCATGTATTTGATTAGCGCATACTACCTAAATGTTCTGTATTATTTTAAGTTTGAGGAAATTCATTAAAATTCACTCTGGATTAGTTGAGATATGAATCTCTATATTTTTGTACCATATAACTTATCTAATGCCCCAAAAAACTATCCAAATTCGTAAGCTAAACTCTTGTATGTCGAACCAAGCGACAATTGAGAAACTACTCTAATATGAGTTGCACAGGGTATATGCCAAGTGCAACTGCAAATGGCTAAAGAGCGCAAAGACCACAGACAGTCTGACGAATTATATAATTATCGCATAAAGCGATGACACTTGCCATTATAACTAATCGCTTCTATTCTATTTCATCCTTCAGCTGGGCCGTATCGACGGTGACAACGCGTCAGAATCTGGTGCCGCGAGTGCTGGGCGTTGAGGACGGCGGCGAGCTGTCGAGTCAATTCGAGGGCCTTACCGAGGGGGCCGATGGCAAGCAAGGGATATCGTCGAACCCTGCTAATTTACCAATATCGGCATTGATACCCTTTTGGGACATGGCGAACCATCGCTCTGGCAAAATCACCTCGTTCTATGACCAGGCCGCAGGGCAAATGGAATGCACGGCCCAGGAGGCGTACAAGTCCGGCGAGCAGTACTTTATCTACTATGGCGATAGATCCAATGCGGATCGACTGGTGCACAATGGGTGAGTATGCGTGAGTCTAGTAAACTCTGTCGCTTACTCTCTCTTCTCCACTCTATTCTCTTGCTCCGTTCGCATAGTTTCGTGGACATGCAGAACCCGAAGGATTATGTGCAAATACGGCTGGGTCTCAGTCCAACGGATGCGCTGGCCGAACAGCGGGCCATGCTGCTCGCCGAGCTGAACATCGAGCGCAAAGCGGAGCTGCGTGTACTGCCCGCACCGGAGCACATATCGGGCGAGCTGTTGGCATTTGTGCGCGTCTTCAACATGAGCAAGGAGCAGCTGGAGCACTGGTGCAGCGACTTGGAGCGTGCTGTCGACCTGCTGCACATCGACTGCGCACTCGAAACGGACCTCGAGACACGCACCTGGCAGTATTTGTACCAGAGGCTCAAGCTGCTGCTCGGCGTGCTCGAGGTGACGCTCAAGGAGGCCGACGAGCTGAAGCAGCTGGAAGCACTGCAACAGCAGGCCGATGCATCTGAAATTGATATTATGGTCCTACAATATCGTCGACTCGAGCGTCGCATACTCAGCGATGCGCTCCAATATGCACAAGAGCGTCTCAAGGTCTAAGATCTAGCTCGATTTCACATTAATGCATATATATATATATATTTTTTTTTTTGTCCCGATACAAAGACTTCGAAGCCTATCCTAGTAAAGCCTAAGATATAAAACTAACAAAAAGGTCTTCAATTTAATTTGAGGGCTCACAATTTGGAGTTTCTTTCATAGATATTTTTCATGCTTGAATTTTAATTAATTTATTTGTGAATCAATTTGAAAATTTGCAATATTTCAATTGAATTGCTTTTCATTAATATTCTCGACATCATCTGCATTAAATTATTGCTTTTATAGTTTTTTCTTTTTTTTTTTTTTTAATATATAATTATATTTATATAGTTTTCTAATCACTATTTAATTTTAATTTGATTAATGTCATTTAATAATTGTTTTATGTTTGTTTCTTGCGCCATATGAAATAAATGCAATTAATACCATTTGGTGGACAACTTTGGAGAATCTTGGGGGCGTTAATCAATAGACGTTCGAATAAAATTTGGTTCCATTTAGATGAAAAGTGAATTCAATTCACAAAGTTAAATTTAAGTAGACTTATCTTGCATGTAAAATGGATATTGATTAAATAGTTAAAGTAGATTAATTGGAGAACAAGAACAACAATAGACAACAAATCATTTGATATCTAAAACAATATATGTACAACAACAAGAGCAGCGTTAAATCAATCGCTATATATGACCTATACTATTATACAAGATACAATCATTAACAGGCTTAAACTCGATAACAAGAAACAATAATATGTAACGAAATATGAGAATAGATAACAATATATACAACAATAGCAACATGGAAGCCACATCAACAGCTACATTGAGCTCAACCATTATCATGAAAAGCAGCATCAATATTAGCAGCAGCAACAAGATGTGATAACAACCACAACAAACAACAATAGCAGAACAACAAATCTAGCAAAAAAGGAAAAAGAAATGGGGAAACATCATCCACAAAATGGGCGCATCCAATGCAAATGAGCATTAAAAACGAAATCGCCTTAAAATGTATGAAAATGCGCTTAAGTGCTTAAGTAGCATAGACCCTACACACACACACACTGACACACACACACATACACACATGTCCACGCACCCATGCAATTACCAAAGACACATTGAGATGTAGCATAGAGCATTTGGATTAAAACAAGCCATGCTTCTAACCACGTGTCCATGCGGCCGTCCCTTTGTGTCACAGTTGCTGTCTGTGGTCTATACACACACACACACACACACACATATTTATATATATCTGTGTGTGTGTGCGTAGATTTATGTAAAGCATTGCTGTTGTACGTCGGAATACGTGCGTTCGAATGTTGATGAGACGCAGACAAGCAGAGCGATGGGCCGACACGAGGACTAGGGACGAAGGGGACAGTTCAAATATGCCATAAAGGATACCCTAAAAAGGACAAAGGGAAATGTTTCAAAATTCACTTTGTAGTTGGCAAGGCGAAGCCAATTGTGAATTATGGCCAGAAATCGTAGAAAATGCAATTCAAGTCGATTAGAGTTTCTGCTTTCGTCTGTCTCTACGCATTTTCGTCTGTCCCATTCCGTTTTTCCTATTAAGAGTTTTTAATTGGATTTGCATTCAATTCAATTGTAAGCTATAGGGCGTCATTTTCGATCCAGAGTCCTTCATTTGCATTGTAAGTCATTCAATCATTCAGTTAATCAATCTGTTTTTAGCTAGTTAGTTAGTCAGTCTATTAGTTCAAGGCTGTGCGTAACAACACATTCATAATAATCAATCAATCAAACATATCATATCCAGCTGTCAATCTGTTCCGCATTTGATTTGTTATTCAGTCGATTAATAATTAAGTTAGTTAGTTAGTTATGCAAATGAGTTCGTTTATGAATTTGATTAGTCAAGTAGTTAATAAGTCTGTTAGATAATCCATCAGCTAGTCAGTCATAGTCAATCAAGGCTGATAATCTATTAGTAAATCAGTCAGTCTGGCAGTCAATAAGTCGATTAGCTTACAATTTAACTAATTGACTAACTTGGTGAGTGACTAACAGATTAATCAGTCAACAAGTCAAGCAGCTAGTCATTGGGTCAGGCTTTCGTCTGTCCGTCCGTCAGTTGATCATTCAGCCTAAAAGATTTAAAGGCTTAGTAAAACACAATTATCGATATACATGTATCGATAAATCCACACACTTCTTTTATACCACTTATGTTCAGTCAATCAAACTAAGTTACGTCCAAGATTCACACTCACACACATACACACACAGACACACACATGCATACTCGCACACACAGCTGCACACACACCCACTAATACATACCCGTGTCAACAAATGCCTTCGAGCTGTGTGTGCCGTAGCTTTGCGTTTTGGTCCACCCTCAAATTGCAGCGGCTTATGCGATGGCAAAAACAAAACAAAAATCTTTAAAGGCCGATGGGCGTGACCATTTGCTAATTGCTTGACAGCAACAAATTGGCCAGTCCAATTAGCAACTTTAAAAGGGGACGGCATGGGCTGCAGCTGCTGGTGATGATGCGTCCTTCTCGGCGGGCGGTGCAACTTTAAGTGATGTGATTGCAATTTCGGCTTTGGCGTTTGTGGAGCAAATGCAAAAAGTCAGCAACGAGGCAGCAGCGAGCAAGGCAACTGGAACAGCTGCAGCAACGGCAATCGATGGCATAAGCCAAACTAAATTGCTAACAGGATACACACACACACACACACACACACACACACGCGGACACGGGCACACGCATACATATATTTCAATCAACTGCCTAAACACTTTTCAAATTGTGCAATTGAATTGAAAACGCGAATCTCTCGCTCGCTCTCTCTCGCTCTCTCTCTCTCTATATATATTCATGTATATCACGGGCTTCTATTGGTTCAGTGGGGTCTCAGTGCAGGGGGCGTGGCCTGTGAATAGCCGTTTCAAATAGCTATTCAAGTGTCAAATCAAATGTCGCGCAAGTGGTTAGCAAGTGGTTGACGCCGTCGGTTGCATTACTGATGACTTTTGTCGCGCCATTTTAATGACATTTTCAAAGTGTTTGCATTTCCAATTTGCCAGCAAAGCGAAAAGGAGAAACACAGCAGAGCGTCAGCGAGAGTGCGAGGCAGAAAGGGGATCGGGAAAATGGAGCGGATGCTGTGTGCTTGCTGTTGGCATAAACATTTAGCCAAAATCAAATATGCATTCCACTTTTCAGCAAACAGCGAGGCACAACAACTGTTCCATAATTAAGAGCAATCGCAATACATATTTGGACTAGCATTTGGGGTATTTCATCGTACCTGATGCATAGATATAGAGTAGGTAGTTTGAATAGCGCGAAAAACTAAGCTTGAGTGTGCTTAGAGCTAAAGATAATCGGGGCAAACGTGAAAGAGTCAACTGAACTGAAGCAGGTTAGTTTGGTATGTGGTATATGAACGAATACACTTGACTTTGATGGTGTTTAGTTTTGTATTGATCTGAGCCTGGGTTTATGTACCCAGACTCATGCATAATTTCAACCCTTAAATCTAATGTATCTATTGCTGAGTGTGTAAGGCTCAGCATTGGGCTATTACATATCTTATCTTATCGCTGAGTGTGTAAGAAAGGGCATGATTACACACTTCAGGGGCATGAGATCAGAGACTTGACTCTCTGATCTGATTCTCTCTGATCAATCCTATCTAGAAGATTTTGTCTAGCTCATTTTCTGTCTCCCTATATATCCACTCTATATATATATAAAAGAAGAGCATGTCATTTAATATGACTATATGTACATGCGACAAAAGCAACTTAAAGTGTGATGTATCTCTCAGTAGGCACTTCGCATGCCTAATAGATAGCAGCAAGAGCAGCAACACCTGGCACCTGGCACCTGGCAGCTGGCTTCATCATGTGAAAGCCTTACGGCTGTCGGTTAGCTGATTAAATGGAAATATGTTAATGGCTGATGTCCATTACATGAATTCCATTTGAAGAATTCTCAAAGCCAGAGAGCTGGGCACTTAATACGCTCATCAATAGTTGGACATAATTTGGCCACGTTGCGTATACGCAGCGTCGTCTCGCCAGCGTCATTAAAAGGAATGAATAATGCACACTTACACACATACCCGCTGTGTGTGTGTGTGTGTGTGTGTGTGCCTACAATATGATTAAACATATTTTTCAGCTGGCTGGCAAAGAAGCTGGCAAAATGGAGAAACCGCCTGCACTTAAACCCACAGTGGCTGCTTTCGAGGGGTCAGGGGTCAGGTATGCAATAAAAACAGATTGTAATCTGCGTAAGTGGAAGTGGCCACATTTGGTTGCAGGCAGCGTGCCAGTGTCAGTGCGGCCCGTTGCCCATGCAACACACATACACGCGCACGCACACACACACATACACGAAACGTAGCATGCAAAACAACAAACCAAACTATTGAGAATGTTGCAATACGAAAGAACGGAAGAAGCGTGAGGAATACCCTGCAGGTGATAGGCAAGGCTGAGAGTGGGAGGCTCGACGCGTGAGCTCTATGCCATATAAGCTCCAATGTATTGACTATGCAAGCAAAGCGATTAATATTTAGTTGCTTAATAAATTTATCGATTCATTTATATATATATTCAATGGATCTATTCTTTATTTGAGGCATTTGAAAGAAACCCGCTCAAATATGGTAAAAGCATTGTTCGTTGGCACTGATCGATAATTGCAAGGTTGACCGATAACTACCTTTGTGAGAAACGCATTATTTCTTAATAGTAATCGGTTTATAATATATGCAAGATATTGAATATGATCAATAAGCAAGATAATAATAAATATGAGCATTTTTTATAGTCTATTTTGAACCATATCGAGAAATTACTGAACGATAGAAGACAGGTTTAATAAAATACATATAGTGCTTTTGATAACATAGAAGCACATTTATGGAGAAAATATCAATAACTAAATAAGATTGAGCTCCATAGAGCTAGCGATAAATATTTATCGATCGATAAAACACTTAAAAACGAACTGAAAATCATTAAAAATAATACATTTAGATTATGTACGATGAAAGAATGTATATTATAAATGCTTATAGATAATGATTAAGAAATCAAATGCGCTGATGGTCGATCGATATTTATAAAGAAACCTACTAAATGTGTAAAATGATATTGATTACTATATTGTTATTATATGATCCAAAAATGTTTGCTTCATATGATAATTCACATATATGTTGAAATAGTGGTAATAAAATCTTATTGATAAATTACATAATATAGAACTAAGCCGAGG